CCGATGGCGGCAGGGGGACGGGACCCCCGGACAGGGATGGGGCAGGGGCCCCCTGGCTGGGATTGGGGCACGGGACCCCCAGCCAGGGCCCTTTCCTCCCCATCAATGATGCTCACGGGCTCAGCACTGGAAAAGCTCAGCCCCCCGAGCCCCCCCAAGCCCCCGAGCCGGGGTCATGGCACACATCAGCTTGTGCTTTAACACCTTTTCAGTATTAACTTCAAGCACACCTTTTCAAATACCACCAGCCAGGCTGAACACCAGGTATTTGGTGCCCCCACTGACCATAACACGCTCTTACTTGCCAAGAAACCATTTCCCAAAGAGTGCCGGGGGCTTTGGGGTTGAATTAAATATATATGTGTGTGCGTATAAAATGATCTGGTTGCGCTCAGGTCCTGCCTGCCAGCTCGTGGCTGCAAGCCTGCCCGGTGGGTTCAATATGCAGCATGTGTTTTCCCTTGCAAACAGTCCAATGCTTTTTGTTAAGCTTTACTGCCAAAGGGCCAGTGCTTGTTTTGGGGCCAGGCTGGGCCCAAGGGCAGGATCCGGCCCTGGGGGAGGCGGGATGCTCCAGCCCCAGCTCTCCAGGATGCCAGCATCTCCCCCCTGGATTTTGGCGGTGGGCAGGAGCCGAGCAAGGCAGGGGGGAGGAGTGGGAAACCCAGCGGAGGAGGAAAAATGAGGCTGGAAAAGCAATAAATGAGGTGCAAAGGGAATTGTGCTGCCCACGGCATTCTCCGTACGCCCCCGGGATAGAGCACGGCTGCTCCAACCCCGCCGCCATCCAGCACATTCCTCTCAGCTAAATTATGGCATTTAATGCGCCGAGCATCCGGCATAAATTTCTGTCCAGCAGCAGAATCAAAATCTCTTGTTTTTCTTCCAATCTGTTTATTTGGCCAAACCAGCTCGCTCAGTGGCGGCGGAAAGGGCTCTTATCCTGCTCGTTCCCTGCTGCAGAGGGTTTTGTGCTGTTTTCGGTACCCTCTGCCCTGTGTCAGGTTGGGTCGGCCGCCCCTGCTTCCCACGGCTGCCGGCTCCCGCGGCAGCTGGGCTGCAGCCAGGGCACGAACGCTTCCTACGGGAGCATCCCACGGGGGGGGACCTAGGCAGCTGGTGCCTCAGTTTCTCCACTGCAGGATGGGGATAACAGCCCTGCCCCACTGCTCAGGGCACCAGGCAGCATCCCGTGGCCATGGCATCATGGCTGTCTCCTTGGGGCTGGTCATCTGAGCATCTCCCCGAAAGTAGAGCCCAGCCCTGGCCAAGCCAAATTCCTGCCAGGCCCCTGCTGCCTCTTGGCACGGAGGGTAAAAACAGAATGAGACAAACTCCATCCCGGTTAACATCTCCTCCACAGGGTGCAAAAATCCGGTGGGAGGCAGCACGGCAGGGTGGGGAGAGCATACCCAGGGCTCCTCACCCATGGACCCAGGCGCCTGGATGGGGGGGGGACACCCCCCACCCCAGCCTGGGGAAGCCTCTGGGGACCGTGCA